AAAGGTTAGTAGATGCAGGGGGAAAGAGACTAATTGGGGAAATGAATCTGTGGGAATCAGATTCAGGGATAAGGATAAGTCCGTGATACAGAATGAGCTTGACCTTTAATCCGTGATCCAAAAAACAGTCAGAAGGGAAAGGCAGAGTTCATACCGTGAAGTCAGTTGTTCAGCAGAAGTATCCAGTACGTGATCCAAAAAGAGAGTCAAAAAACAAGAGCATGAGTCGGTACCTGATCAGATGAGCAAAAGCAGACGAGGGCTGAGGCAAAAGCGTGGTCGTGGTCAAGGCAAGGGTCATGAACGTGATGAGTCAATCAATGGAATGCTGGAAAGTCTACTGCTGATGAGACAGGATAGAGAATCTGGCCCAGACTGAGCGGAATGAGTGAGCTTAAGTACTGACTGGACCAGGTGGTGGAGCTGTGGGATAATGAGCGGTGACAGGTGACATGAGTTGAGTGATTACTGAGTGTGCAGCATGACAGAGGAGCTGACAGAGAGCAGAGCTATGACACAAAAAGAACTGAAACTCGACCATGACCTCTCTAAGTGACTTCAAACATCTGTTAAGTTCCTGGGAAAAACCAATGCAGACATGTTCCTGTTTTTAGTTTTCTGCACTGCTTTGCAACTTAGCAGGGGGGGTTGTTACATTTTTTAATACCATTTTATTTTCACTTGGTATTCTCAATTTGTATGCTTCCTTGATGATTGTCTATTGTTGTTGTTGTCATTGTTGTTGTTGTTGTTGTTGTTGTTGTTGTTGTTGTTGTTGTTGTTGTTGTTGTTGTAAACTGTTGTCATCACTCTGTTAAAATCAAGTCTCTCTTGTAAATGAGTCCCTGAGGCTCAATACCATACCATTTTATTTATAGAGCACTTAAAACAGTGACAAGGCCAACCAAAGTGCTGTACAGACAGAACAACAGGTAGCACACGAAGCAATATACAAAATGAGGTAAATCAGAATATAGACAGAAAATCGATGCAGATAATGACGATAAACCAGTATGGAGCATACAGGATCAAAACACAGATCATCTGGTGTTGAAAGCTACCAATGGGACTAACCTGTATAAATAAAGGTTGAATGAATGAAATTTTACTCTCAGAATCAAATAACTTTTTTTTAATTGTTAAACTGTTACTGTTGGTATTTTTCATTTTACTTTTTCATTATAATTTCATTAAACTACAGAAAAGAGAACTGTGACTAAATATTCAATGCAAAATTGTGTTTAAGTCATTAAAGTGTTTAAATCATTAAGTATGTGCAGAGTCTGGCTTCAAAAAACAACATGGCCGCACCCAAAAAACAAAGTTTGTCTTCAATTAAAAAATGTGGATGTTCTTTGTCCATTTTTAACAACAATGGATCATGAGATCTGAGGGAAATAATGTCCAGTGACTGGGAAAATGAGCAAACTGGAACAAACTGAATGTGAAAATATTGAAGTACAACAAATAATAGCCCAAGTACAGTAAATGTACTGTACATGCACCTTTCTATCTGATCAAGATACTCAAAGCTCTTTACAACAATCTGTGCCTCATTTACCCATTCATACAGCTCTATACTAGATCTCTACAAAGACTAATCATTCATACACTGATGGGACACACATCAGAGGCAATGAAGTGTTCAGTGTCTTGCCCAGGGACACTTCAACATGTGACTGCTGGTGGTATTGAACCCCCAACTCTTGCTCTGGAGGACGACTGCTCTAACCACTCAGCCACAGCCGCCCCTAAGTAAGTAACTAAATACAAATAAACAAAATCTTTAAAAAATAAAAAAACAGGCTCATGACACAGACTCAGTTTGGTTTTCTGTCCTGTCTGTCCACTTTTGTTGTTTTGTTTCAAAAGGTCTGAATACATATATAAATGTGATATATTAATGGTTTTATCTGAGAATAAATTGAGAAAAAACGTATTAAAGGTTGCAGTGTCAGACTGCAATATAACAAAAATCTACTGAGCGAAGTGGGTTCATTTTACTTTTTGAACCTACTGAATTTGTGCTGAAGGTGTGTAAAAAATGATGGTTCAAGGATAGATCCTTGTGGAACACCCCTTGATCACCCCATAGATTGTGATATTTTAAGTGAACAAAGAGATGACATGACTAAATTAAAGACCATTTAGATTCAGTTACTCAAGGTTTTAGTAAAGCATTTCATATTCAGTGTTGCATTATTAAAATTCAGGCCAACTCCAAATTAAAGTTGTTGAAACTGAAGTGTTCCACACCTCGATGTGCTCAACGCTTTCATAGTGTTGAGTCAGCGTTCACACAGCTGGTGCAAACGTTGCTTTGCTTGCAGAATGCCGTGTAGAATGTGAGAGTTGATTTCAATCAGAACAATTCATTGAAAACACCACAATACAGATTTCAACAGATTCCAGATGAAAGTACAGATAAATTAATAAAAATAAACTCGTACACCAAGCGCCTTCACAAAGATGAGTGAATTAATTCAGAGTCAACAATGATTCATCACAAGTCCTTTCCCAGGTTGTGGATCTCATCCAGGACAAAGTCCATGTCCTGCCTGCTGACCTGGGGGCTGATGACCACCATCCTGAAGAAGTTGGCATGGCCCCCATGGGGCTGGTAGCCCACCATCATGCTGCCAGTCTTCATCATGCGCTCTTTGATAATCGGGGCCACCTACAGGCAGAGGGAGGATTCAGCACAATAACTAACCACGCTCACATCTAAGGTATAAATATTCAACGAGCACACGAGGAAAATAAAAACAGCAAAACTCTGAAAAATCACTTTTACTGCCCGCCACTATAAAACCTGTGTGTGTGTGAGTGTGTGTGTCTGTGTGAGGGGTGCACGCGTGCGTAGTTGTCTGTCTGTGTGTTAGCAAAATATATCACGAGTCACTGGACAGATTTTAATCAAACTTAATAAATAATAATTGAATGTTCAACTACAACTATATTTTAAAAAAAACTTAGTGGTATATTTTGGAGTCAACCACATTCAAGATGGCAGCCACGCCCAATCAACCTCGGTCAACTCATAAATGGTCATACGCCAGTTTTACAGAAATTGTGGTGAATTTGGTGTATAATTTTTTTATATGTATACATAAAATGCAATCTCCCAAGATATATATATGGTTTTAAAAGACAAATCTGAAACCACCACATTAATAAACTACAATAGCAGAAGAGAAAAACAGCTTGTGTATTTCAAGAACCAGCAGCTGTGGTAGTAGTGGAGAGTCATCATGTGCAGATTATTCAAAATCAAGAATGTGCTTAGTGTGACTTTCAAAGTTTATCTATCAGGAACAGCAGCAGGCAACATGCATTCCTTCAAGGAATGGTGCACTTTTAATTTTAGATGTATAAAATCAATCCTTGACTACAAGAATCTTTACTTTAGGGTGAAGTTCTCTATAATGTTTAAAGTAGTGGTGTCCCAGTTCTTTCTGTGATGTACAAAAGAGGTGAAGTGGTTGAGGTTTTCTGCAGGAGGAGCACACTTTCAATAAAATATTTGAATTGTATGTTTTCTGTTCAACATTCATTTGGCAAGCAAGAAGACAGGCAAAGTGCCATCCTTCATGGAATCCTGCGTTCATCACGAGAACAAGTGAAAAACAGATTCTTTACAGATGTAATCAGACTGATGCACTAAAGTCACAGCAGAGCCACTGATGGGACTTTTAATTTACAACCACACTTCAATTGACAATGATGAATATTTCAGGAGTTGATGTTTCTTTTAGACTTAACTTGATGAAAGGTTTGAACGAAAACTTGGTACCTTCAAGGTCCTCTTTAAAACTTAACTTTAAAAACAGCCTTTGGAAAAAACTAGAGAACTGTTGCTTATCCATCCATCATCTTTTACCTCCTTCTTCCTTTTTGGGTTGTGGGGTCGCTGATACCCAGATCCAGCTATCACTGTGTGAGAGGCAGGGGGCACCCTGGACAGGTCTCCAGTCCATCACAGGGACACATAGAGACAAACAACTATTCACTCTCTCTCTCACACCTAGAGACAATTTAGAGTTACCAATCAGTCTAACATGCATGTTTTTGGTCTGTGAGAGGAAACTGGAGTACCTGGAGAGAACTCACAATGCACGGAGAGAACATGCAAACTGCACCCAGAAAGACCCCCAGCCGGGATTTGAACAACCTGCTTGCTGAGAGGCAGCAGCTCTACCAACTGCTCCACAGTGCTGCCACTGTTGCTCATGAACAAATTAAAAATTGCAAAACCAAAAATACCTTTAAAGCAAAAATTATTTTTGTTTTTAGTACTTCTTAAAATACTTCATTCATCCACCGCCTTTAACACCAGAGGCTCAGACTGAGATCTCATGTTAAGATGAGAAACGACAGAGTTGTATTCATGCTGGGCAAACCTTAGCCAGCACAAAAGTCAGGTTAGTACTGAAGTGTAATTTAATATATTAAAACCTTACATTGTGCAGTTTTTGCCAGAACTCTGGTCCATCAGGAAGGTTCCTTAGACTCGGTGGAATATACCAGAAGCAAACATTTGCATATTCAGGCTGCAGAAGAAAAATAAACACACGTTTCTATCTACATTACAACTAAAACTGTTAAACAAACAACATCTCTTTGTGACCCCGCCCACTATCCTTACATCTCAAATCTCATTATGACAAGAACTGTGAAATGGATATTGCATTGCTGCAGCAACCAACCACTACCCCTTCAACATCTGGCTGTTACAGTTTTCCCTTCTTCTATCCTGACCTTAGATGCTGTATTATTATCTGTGTTTACACTGATCATCAGAATGTTGTGTCATAAACAGGTGGTGAAGGTAAACCCAATGGTGCATGCAGGCAGTAGCAGACTCATGAGATATAAAATAGAGTATTTATTAACAAGAAAGCAAATGGCTGTCTGGGCAGCAAAATTTACATGAAACACAAGGCGCAGACAGGACATCACCAGTGGACAGCATACAACGCCAGGAGCAAGGACTAACACAGAGACGCAGACTATATACAGTGACTAACGAGACAAAACACCTGTGGGGACACGCAGCTGAAACACATCAGGGGAAATGATAAACTAGGAAACCAGGGAGTGCAGGAACAGACAAACTACACCAGATGGAGGCATACACTAGGAAAAACACAAACCCTATAGAAGACAGAAACTAAGGATAAGGACACCACATAACCACAACACAAGATGGGGCTAGACACCAGGAAAACACACCACAATCCCTACACCTTGCAAACTTCTTTCAGACCACTATATACTAATTTACTAATGTGTACATGTATGATTTTCCATCAAAATTTTGTTGCTGTCCATAACTGTTGTTATTATGGCAATGACAATAAAGTAAAGTAAAATAAAATGCAACTTTAATAAACGTTTCAACAACACAATGATGTAAAGATCTGAGGTTTAATATGACAGTTTAATAAACTAACCTCCATCAACAGACGGAAACCTTCTCTTTTTTTAATTTCTTCTGCAAGATACCTGCAAGTAAAATCACATTTAGAGTCCGAATCAGGACTTATTACTGTCAACTGTAAAGAAGGCTACGGTGCAGAAACACAAATGCTTATTAGCCCTGAATACAGTGTTAAAGATATATATAGGAATAATAGTTTGTTAAAGGAATTATTTTATGTTCTCAATAAACCAAATAATATAAAAATAAGCTGCTTCAGAATACAAATGTGTGAGTTCAGTGTTAAATTAAACTTTATCATGGAAATCTCTGGTGTACACTCAAAACAGGCATCATTTGGATGAATGACCACCAGAGGGCAGTGTGTACCAGCTGACTAGACCAAACTGACCCAAAGAAATGAGTTCACATTGTTGGGATCAGAAGTCACTGAAGTGAGAACAAACCACAGGTGAATGAGCACTGACAGAACATCATCCTGCCTCTCAGAGGTATCTGTCGTGTGACGACTGACCTGGCCATGGCAAGGGCTCTGTCCACCCGCTGCTCCAGCTCTCTGGTTCCTAAAGCCTTCCACATGAGCCAAAACTTGAAGACGTCTGGCTTCCTGCTGCATTGGATTGACTTGTCGCCTGTGTCGTAGTTCACATCGTAGAATTTGTCCTGCTGGAAGAGGTAGGTGGCCTGAGCAGAGTGGCAGCGCTGGAGGAGACTCTGAAGAAACACAACACCAAGGATGACTGACACATTCAGGAACACTGTGGAAGACATTATCTGCTTTACTGGGTCATGTACAGTCGTTTAGTATACATGAGCATTATATATGTATAGTTATAGTACAGTATGTGTGATTGTAAAATAGTTTAGGTCATTTGGGCCCGTCACACACTCCCATTGATTTTATTTGTTGTGTGAAGTGCAAGCAGGATAAACAGGAAGAGCAGGTGGGCAGAACCTGTGAGCAAGAGTCTACAGGCATCCCTACGACTGAACGACAGCCAGGAAGGGCCAGTCATTACAGAAACCTCATAAACCACAAAAACTTCCAAGATCTGCGGATACCGTTTAGCTTTTAAATGAAAATAGTACTTCCTGTGCACGACTCTTCTTCTTGCCATTCCTACCACGTGTTAGTGTTTTGTCTGTCGCCTTCTGTTTAAGAAGAAAACTGAAGTGTTGCACGTCTGAAACGCCAAAACAAGTGACGTCTTTGGGCTCTTGACATCAAGCCATAGGTCAGCTGACAGTCTGATTATCTCATTTTAAAACTATATTTCTCCGAGCTGTCCTTCAAAAAGCTCTCTACAACGTGTAATATTTCTTCCTAACTTTTACACAGAAATCCTCTTTAGAATGGCCACCAGTATATATCATGCAACCATTGCATGAAAAGGTCTGAGCCACTTGTTCATCCTGGAAGCCAGTTAATTCTGTCTTGAGCCTCGGAGCTGTTTACCAGGGAAGAGTTCTGTTTGCTTCAAGGTGGGCCTGATTGTGAAACTATCTTGCACAATAGCCAGGATTGCATCTCCAGCCTCTGTGTCGTGTAGTTTTTTCCATCAAACACAAATGACTTCCTGCATGCCTCTCCTCTTACCGTTTTGTCTCTGAGCAGGAAAGCTGAGCACTGCAGACTCGCCAGCAGCATCTTGTGAGGGTTCCAGGCGACAGAGCTGGCTCTTTAAAAATCAGCAGAGGCTCAGTGCGTCTTCAGAAACTGCTGGCTTTCTTCGAAACTAAGAAGATACTTTGACTTTGTGCACAGGAAAGCACATTCTCATCTTTTCTTACCTCTCAATGCCCTTTAACAAGTGCTTGTGCTTCTTTGACATGAGCGCTCCTCCTCCCCAACATGCCTGTGGAAAACAAAGGAGAAAACAAGGATGAGTCTTAGTGATGACGTGTGATTAGAACAAATTAAATCTCTGAACTTACATCCACGTGCAGCCAAACGTTGTGCTTCTCACAGATTTCTGCTACACTGTCGATAGGATCGAACGCTCCAAGTACCGTGGTCCCTGCTGTGACATTTACCATGAAGGGAACCGCTCCCTGAACACACATGCACACAAGTGACTCATCTGTCTCTGAACACTTTCACTGTAAGAAAACAAAACCTGTTACAAAATAGACCTTCTCACCTTGATTTTAGCAGATCTGATTTGCTCTTCAAGAGCAGAAGGAATCATCTTCCCTCTAGCAGACACACAAAAATCAATATTCAGTTTGATCGTTCAATTAAAATGGGAAATAAATGAACAAATGCACTCACTGCCTGATAAATTTAAACTTTAGCACATGAGTACAAAATATTATACACCATGCAAATTGCCTCCACATGATTTTATCACAGATTTTAGTTGATTTTTATCATTGATTTTAGTTGTACTTTGTAGCACTTTGAGATTTTTGTTAATGAAAAGTGCATTACAAATTAAATTCATTATTATTATTATTATTATTATTATTATTATTATTATTATTATTATTAAGTGGCTATTATTGTGAAAATGTTAAATGTGCAAACTTTCCTGTTCGTTGTTTCTTCTGTAGATTATTTGTAATCAAACTAGTTGCGCATCCTTTGTTCTCATGTAACTGATCATGTATGAAAGCGTCAGCTCTATCAGGAGTTGTGTGCTTTGACTTCTTGTATTTGTGATTTATTACCCGTGAACAGATTTTCACCGTCACTGAGCTTTGAAACTACCGTTGCAACTCCAGTCGTGGTTATGGACGGATCAACCCCAAACAGCTTCCTCCAGAGAACGTGTGCTGGTAAGATTCAGAGGGTCCACAGTATTTCTTCTACCACTGCACATCATCACTGGTTGAGGTCAACAGTGCTCCACCTCCACTATAAAAAGTGTTGTTAAAACATTTCTTCCCTAACTGCAGCTTCCTGATGTTTGTCAGAGTCTTCAGGGATTCAGTCGAGACTTTACTCGTGGCCTCACTGAATTCTTCCTACCAGGATCAGATCAGTGAGACCATTCCTCCCAGTCATGTCCCTCCAGGTCACACTGTTGTAACCAGTGGTGGAGTTTACGTGATACTCAGATATACAGAGTATACCCACTAAAAAGCTTAAGAATTTCAGTATACGCATTAAAAAGTGTCCAGTGATACATGACATATGATTAGGCACATGTCATTGATATGTTAAACAGCAGTTAAACGCTTCCACAACAATCTTTCATATGCAGAGCTTTGCTTTGACACTATAAATTCACATGTTACATGTTTTTAATACAAAGCCAACTGTTGTACAAAGTTTGTTGTTCATTTATTCAAATAAAAGCATCAGAGAAATTTGGAAAAGTTCAATATACTTAATCAAAATAAATTGGCGATTACATTGTACTAACCTGTGTACTTTGGTTTCTAAGCACAGTATACCCATTACAAAACTGCACCATACCATTTTATTTATAGAGCACTTAAAACAGCTACAAGGCCAACCAAAGTGCTGTACAGACAGAACAACAGGCAACACACGAAGCAACATACAAAATGAAGTCAATCAGAATATAGACATAAAGTCGATGCAGATAATAAATATGATGACAAACCAGTGTGGAGCGAACAGGTTCAAACCACAGATCCTCTGGTGTTGATGTAACTGTAGACTACACCACTGGTTGTAACCCATGTGGACGTTGAAGTCCCCCAGTTCAGTGATGGAGTCCTCAGCTGCAGCACCTTCCAACACCCCCTCTAAGGACTAGAAGCAGGTTGGGTACTCTGAACTGCCATTTGGAACATAGGCATAAACAGAACCCTTCCTCTCACCCAAAGGTGCACGAAGCTAGCCTCACATCTACAGAGGGAACCTTCAACACACAGGCACCAAGCCGGGGGCCTTTGATGCCCACACAAGCCAGACACTTGAGTTCTGTCCCTCCCCAGGAGACTGGTTCCAGCTAAACACTGAAAACTGAGGTTAGCTTGACTGTAGCTAGTTGGTACAAGTTCAGGCTCCTTCCCCGTCAGAGAGGAGACATCTCATGTCTCGAGCCAGCTTTGCTGAGTCAAAACCTTTGGGTTGGAGCAAAAACCTCGGCTTTCGGCTGCCACCCATGGTACTATGCACCCAACCCACGTGGCAGATCCTGCAGGTGGGGGTGGACCCACAGGAAGAGTGTTAGCTACAGTTGTGCTTATTAGAGCTTTCAGCTGTGAGTTTGTTAATTTAAGGTTTGGCTATAATTTAGCCAATCTTTGCCTCTTGGAAAAGTTCTGCCTGTTTTTAGCTTCAGGTTGTTTTATGTTTAACAATGTAGGTAAGAATTCATTCTTCAAACATTCTCTGTTCACAGAGAGGGAACTAGTGGAGCAAGCGATGGATGGTTTACCTTTTATCAGACGGCACCACATAAACATTCTTCGTGCCAATTCCCATTAAAGCTGCTGCTTTAGAGATGGAGAAATGAGACTGAAAGAGATGAAACAAAAATAATTTACTAAAATGCATGAACCAACATTAAGTCAAAGTCAGAAGTCAAAGTCACTTTATTGTCAAAACTGCAATATGAACAGGACATACACAGGATTGGAATTACATTACTCTCAGACCCCAGTGCAACAATAACTATTTAATATTAAAACATTTAATAAACATTAAATAAAGCATAAAATGAAATCATAAAAGTAATAATAATATATTTTATAAATAATAAGTAATATAGTAATAGTAATATACAACATATTTTATATTTAATAATAATTAAATATAAAAAGTCAGGCTTATCTGTGTTTTTATGAGTCGATTCTAAAAACATTCTCCAGCAGGATCATGAGACCACCTGCTCTTTGAAGTGACTCAATTTTTCACCCAACTCTTTAATTTTGATGAAAGAAGAGCAACTTCCTGCTGTGAAACCTCACAACACTGTACCTCTTGTGAGGTGAACAGGACCAGTTGTGGAACCACAGAGAGTCCGAGCTCTTTGATGTCAGGAGAGTACTGGTACCTGGCCAGGTTCATCGCATACAAGTTGGACATTGAGCCACCTTAGGAAGAAAACAAAAAGCAGCATGTGAAGCATTGAACAACATCACAGTGTGGGTTATGACACCATGGAGTCATGGTTTTCAAACTATGATACAAGTACCTCTGGTGCTACTAAGGATCCTTTCTTGCTGTACTCAAAAGCATTGAATTGAACTGTTTACAAGTTAAATAACTAAAGTGTGACACGATGGACGGTTGAAATTATGCTAGAGGTTATTTAAGCAGCACCAATGAAGACCTGATGAGTCAAGCTGACGACAAGAGGTCCAGTGATGTGTTGTATATGCAGTTTTATGCAAAATGTCTCACTGAGAGAATGTGTTGAATGACTCTCAGCCAATAATGAAGTTATTGATAAAACTATATTTAAAATACTGCTCAGTGAGTAACACTTGGAGTGGGTCTTGGTGACGGCTACACCACATTCTAGCAGAAAGTTTGTAAAGTTGACTAACTTCAGTTAGCCGTGGCAGCCATCCTCCACTGGACTCCAAAAGACAGTCGGTTCATAAATTCATTCATTCAACCTTGATTTAGACAGACAAGTCCCAATGAGCCTAGAAGACTCATTTACAAGGGAGATCTGTTTACACAGACACAAAGTGGTGAAACGGGACACGTGGGAATTGGAGGCGACAAAATTCCTATCAGACTTTTTTTTTCCAGCCTGAGAAGAAAAAACTCTGATGGTTGGTGCATAAAAAGGTAAAGGTGCATTCAACTGTATTTCTCGAGAAATATACTTGATAGTAAATCTATTTCTACTTCTTAGTTTTAATGTCTGTCATAGTGGTGATACTCAGAGAGCGTAGTCCTTTCTGAAGCTGTACACGTTCTAAAAGTTTGAAACGTGTACTATCTGCTTCTGACTGTAACAAATGAAAAGGACTCGTGATTGTCCCAACAGGTTACATACCTGCATTAAAGATCCCATCTCCTCCATCTTCCCAGCCGACAATCTCAATCATCTTCTTCAGCACAACTTCCTCCATGAGAGTAAAGACTGGTGCCACCTCATATGTGTAGCTGATGGAAAGTGTTAGCACAATTTTACATCAGCAACTTTTTAACCATCAGGCGTAAACAGGAGCAGAGATACTACTTTATATATATATGTATATATATATACATATATATATATATATATATATACACAGTATATGGGGCGTGGGGTGGGGGTGGGGGGTTATTCCTTAAGATACAGTCGAATGTACTGTTTCAAATTTAAATGAAAACTAAACATTCATTACCATTAACTGTCTTGTACCTAAAGCACCCAGGGATCAAATGAGGGTGGAGCCAGGTGTGGGTGCTTCACCTGTCCCACCCACATTTCTGCCTAAGGGCATAAAAAAGTTCATCTGGACAGCAACACCATTATAAAGCTGGACTCACACACTGGTTTTGATGGTCTCAGTGATGAGGCTTGCTACCAGAGAGTAAGGGTCCATCCCTGCGAACAGCTGGTTGAAGAAACGAGGGTGGGCTGCAAACAACACGGGTCACTTTCTTACTCAAACTGCTCCCATGTACTAGTACCTTATATGTGTATGTATTCACCATGAAGAATAAGAACAAGGAAAGAGTCTTAGAATGACGTGTTTTGTTTGTTACCTTTCATACAAGACTTTTAGATTAAGATCAAAAGTGGTGAAATCTTCAATAAATATGTGCTGGGGAACAATCTCAACTACAAAGTACTACCACATCCCATTTTACTTGTGTATCTGTAATACTGACTGCATTCTGTTTTTGCTAAGCTCACCTAGCTGTGGCGGCCATTTTGAACTGTCAACTCAAAGGTAATCATTTGAAGATGCACATTTTTTATTGCCCTCTCACCTTCAGCAGCAAGTGATGAAAATAAAAACAATGAGCCACTAGTTACATTCAGTTACACCTGGGATCAAAGTTAACACCTAGTCCTAGACAGGGACCATTCGCCATCATTTGGCTCAGTGGTTAGCACTGTTGCCTCACAGCAAGAAGGTCCTGGGTTCAATCCCCGGTTGGACCCAAAATCTTTCTGGGTGGAGTTTGCATGTTCTCTCCGTGCATGAGTGGGTTTTCTCTGTGTACTCCGGTTTCCTCCCACAGACTAAAAACATGCATGTTAGACTTATTGGTAACTCTGAATGGTCCCTAGGTGAGTGAGAGAGTGATGGTTGTTTGTCTCGTTTGTCTCTATGTGTCCCTGTGATGGACTTGCAACCCGTCCAAAGTGTGCCCCGCCCCTCGTACAGTGATTGCTGGACATGGGCACCAGCGACTCCCGTGACCCAAAAATGGAAGAAGTGCGTAAAAGATGAAGGATGGATGGATGGATGGATGGATGGATGGATAAAACTTTAAACAAGGCCAACTTTTTGGAATGGGGTGTGTTTTTAGTAGCACACATTTTCCACGTACGTCAGATCAGTTTAAATGCCCCTCAGTAACGATCTAAATGCTACTAATATTCTGGTAATTACAATAAACAAACAAATAAACAAATAAATAAGAAGAAAGCTGTAACTTTTAGCAGACACAGTGTTGCTCTTCTGCACGTTACCTCACCTGACCTCTTCTGTTAGCTGCAAGTTTATCATCCAGAGTGTGATCAGTCCTTGGACACTTCTAGTTGCTCGTTCATGTCAAAAACGTCAAGTTCTTGATTAAAAAGCCAGTTATTGTAAAGTTCACACTAAATGTTCTCGGTCTCTAAAGTAAAGTAAGGAGCGACGGAGGTCCAGCTGATCAGACTGCAGTTACTTTGAATGCTTTTAAAGATATTATCTCACAAACGTCAACAATGGATCTGTCCTGCAGGTCTTCAGTAAATGAACTCGGGGTCACATCACGGCATGGTTTCTCTTCTCTACCATGTAAAGTACAACATGCATGTCAGCTCGTGGTTTTCAGTGAGTGTCAAACATCTGATCAACACATGCTGAAGTGGGATTATTAAAAGTCCCCGCCCAGTATAGCAAATGGGCTGGTTGAGCATTTTTGAGCAACAAAACTGATCCAGCTTGTGTTTTTGTCAGTGTGGTGCTCTAAAGTCAGCCCATTAAGAATGGACTTACTGGTCTTGACGCTGTATCTGATGGTGTCTCGACATCGCTCCAGGATCTTGGACTCAGACTCTCCTTGGTCTCTCAGCTCCAGGTCCAGCAGCTTCTTCAGCTCCTCGGGGCGACGCCACTCACAAACCTGTCAGCAGGAATAAAGTCAGCTGTGGCACACTTCACTGCACGAAGGAAGGAAGGACTTTTTCTACCTTTTCTCTGACATCCGTGGCCTTTTTCACCGCGTCTTCTAAAATGATCTCCATGGACTGCTGAATGAAGCTGTCCCACGACAGAGCACTGAGCGCCGGGCCGTTAAGAGGAACGTCGTCCACGATGATGGAAGAGCATTCCTCTGACCTGGTCGCAGGGCTTTGGGCTGAATTCAACTCTGAAAGAGAGGTTTTAAAAAATCTCAGAGCTGTGATGATGGCTTCTTAAAATAAATAAATAAATAAATAATGGCCTGTCACTCTGCAGATAAATGAAGGAGACAGCCGCAATGTTGTGAGGTCTCACAAGATATGTTGGTGCTCCAGCTGAGATCTGAGGATGACTCTCAGCTACTACCACACCAGACTCTAGCTCAACATCTGTAAATATATAAGTAATTTTATGTTGGCTAAGGCCAATCAGCTGTAGTGAACATCTGGAAATGGGTTGAATGTAAACAGAATCTGTTGTAGGTTTATGATCAGTGATTACGTTCTGAGAGTTTTACTCTAATCTGTCCAGTCATTCATGAGATATTGTGCTAACAATCACACACACAGGCAGACCAGTGTCTGAGGAAGATAAAGATGAGTCACATGAAGTGCACATGTGCAGACTTGCCTCAGTGACATGGTCTTTTAGTTGTTATATACTTTTGTACACACACACACACACACGCTCCTCCTCCAAGACCCAGCAGGATTAAAGTTTAATGGGTGCAGAAAATTAGTTACTGAGCAAAAATGGCAATAATTAAGAAATACAGCTGAAGTGTTGGATCTTATATTTTAAATATTTGTTTCCAGTTTTTGTTTAGCAAAATATCAGCAGAACTGCAGGAAAATTAGTGTCACGTTGCTGCAGCAGCCTGTGTTGACTTGAACTAACTTAACACAGAAACAAGAGTAAATTCAATAAAGCATTTCATTTAATTTAATCCACTCGATTAGGTTGTGTAAGTTATGCAATATATATATATATATATATATATATATAAAAAAATATATATATTGATTAGCTTGCTTGTGTTTTCTGTTGATGGAAGAGATCATAAAAAGTCTAAAGTTGGACAAAACAACGAGACAGACAAGTGTCCTGTTTTCTTACCATTAGCATGTTTTTCCATGTTTGATGGCGTGTTGTTGAAATGTAGCTGCTCTGCCCACATAATGAGAACTCATATGAAGCTGGTATTTATAGACTTCTCTGTGGCCCCCAAGACGCCTTTATTAGAGATTCATGATGATGCTGCACAACCTCCGGTGTGTTTCCAGGTAAACTCACACACGTCTGCACAGACACGGAAAATTACACAAAGTTTGTTCGGTTGGCTTCTGGAGAATCTCCTGCAAGAGTGTACCAACTCTGTGCTTTCACACACACACACACACACACACACACACACACACACACACACACAC